CCAGCCTAAAAATATTTTTTATTAGTAAATATGTTGCTATTTATTTTATTTTAGAAATCTCAGTACGTTGTTAAGTCAATAGAAAATAGGCTGCTTTCTGAGACCAATTTTCCCAAAAAATTGGTATCATCAAGTCTGTCTATAAATTACTCATGAATGCTTTCTGCAGGTTAAAGTGTTAGTGGTTTTCCTGTGATAGCCAATACTATGCACGAATCCGGGACCATGTGAAGACCATGCATGGTTGGTCACTAGGAAGACAAAAGTGGTCATTTTAAAAAAATTAAACTGGAAATAATAGGAGGAGGTTAAACTAAACATTGATTGAGAACTCTTTTTTTGCTAAGGACTATAGTAAGTACTACACATGCAGTACCTTATATAATCACCAACCCAAGAAGGTAGGAACTACTATTCTTCTGTTTATAAATGAGAAAACAGCCTCAGAGGTGAACTGATTTCCAGTGTCACACAACCAATAAAAGCAGAAGCAGGGACTGGAGCAACTGTTAGAAAGGGCAAAGACTGGAGGCTTCAGAGGTCAGAGGCCTCAGGGCTGAGAAAGCTGGAATGGAAGAGAATGAGAGGACAAGGAGAATTCTACCACTCAGGTGACTTGGACCCCATCTCCCCACAGCCAGCTATCTTTCTTGCTCCCACTTCTAAGGCAACCCCGGTGTACAGCAGTGCTAGGGTAGGGTGCTGCAGGGTAAGATGCGGTAGATTCTGTCTCTTAATGGCATTGGGGTAGCTCATTGGAAAAGGACAAGTAGGCTAACTGGTGAGAGGGAATGCAAGATCCCACATTGTCATGAGTGAAACAGCCTTTGGACCAGGCCCTAGCTGGAAGACCAGGATTTTATCCAAGTCACAAGAAGGCAGGGAGACATACAGGGAATGCCTGGCCCCTGCATCTGCTGGGACACACTAGCACTCCGACCACACAGTAGCCCCTACACAGACTCTTACAGACGTAGAGATCAGGCTGGAACTCACTGTTACAAACCAGGGCAGAAAGAAAGAACCAGAGGCAGGAGCTGGTTTGAGATGTCTTAAAGCCCCCAGAATTTTATCTTCTATCTATTCATCTTCTGTATATTTCCCCCAAGACTCAACTGTTCTTGAACACTCCTGCCAAGCAATGGGTCAGGCAGTCAGTAACCACATGAAAAATTCTGCCTGTTGTATTGACACTGATAGCTCTCAGAAAGTTGACAACTGTTCAGAAGATTGTATTTGTTTCTGAGATTTTAGGTGTCTAATCTTAAAAAAAAAAAACCGAAGTCCTAGAATTTCTAAAGTCTTATATTACCTAGTTTGAACTTGATAAATTGTATGAAAGCAGTTTTAAAACTTGTGTGAGACTCTGAGTAGGATATGGATAGATTTTCAGAATCTACCTAAACTTGTTAATGTTTTATCACAGATAACTTTATATTGCTGTCTCAAGAAATTGATGATTAGATCATTAAGTGTTGTATCTAACAACAAGATTTTTACCTGGGTTTAAAACAAAGTATGTAAGTAAATAGGAAAAAAATGACAATATTTTGTTAATAAGACGATCTCTGAAAATACATATTATACTCTGTACTCTGCCTAGTAATTTACGTGTATTTTACATAATAAAATTCATAGTACTTTCTTATTAAGAGAATTAAAAATTAATATGCTTCATAACTTTTTTCTCCTCCAAATTGAAAAACAGAAAAGTGGGAAAGCAGTTACCATGGCTATTAAAAGGAAATAGGATTTGCATTTCAAGTTGGTAAATTAATTAAATAGTGAGGTTTGGTGGAGACCATATAGGTTTAGGAGCCAGACATGTCAATTCATCTTTTGCCGTTAATTACTCTGTACTGAGGGACAGTTCATTAACTTATTTGAGCCTCCTCAATTTCCAGAAAACAGGAATAACAAAAAAGATCTTAAAAGGATTAACAGGACAATGGCACACAGCAGTCATTCAGTAATGATCTTGGTTATTATTATTAATGAATTGTAAGTGCCTTGTCTGCCAAAAGCAAAATGTAATTCCTTTGAATGGGAAGTAGTTAGGTTCCTGGACTAAAGCTGATTATAATTCCTATAATGCAAATTAAACCATAGTCTGTTGAATTGCAGGGATTCTTTATCCCTATAACCTGTTCTAGTAGGACAGAAACGGTTTGGTATTTTTAGGGGACTTTAGAGTGTGAGATCAATGCCTCATATTACCCCTAAGCTGAAAACATTGGGCAACTCCAAGGAAGTCCCTTAACCACTCTCAAAAATACTGGAGCTGGGAAGCCACTTTCACGCTAAATTTAAGAGACATTCTGATTTTGTTTTGGAAAAATCAGTTCATCAATATATTTTCTTTCATGGCTATAAAAAGTATTTAAAAATGAAACAAAATAAAGTAGTAAAAAATCCTGGTATGTATTTTTCCCTTGGGGAATGAGGTACTCATTCGAGTCCTCTTGGAAAAGATTATTTTGTACTCTGGTCAAGGTGGCCTACTTTCTTTTTGTGTTGAAAGGATTTGAAATTAGAAGTTATTTGTATTTTCCCGGGAGTGTCCACTTTAGGAAGAAAGAAAATTATATGCCTGAAGAACATGGTTGGCCAATTTATTGTTGTTTATGTCTGCGAGGTCAGAAAGGAAATACATAGAATTCAAGTTTCTTTTTTGTTGTTGTTCTGGGAAATATAGTGTTCCTTTTTGTTTTATGACAGACTAATATTTTTCCCATGTTTGAGAGTGTTCAAAGGTAATTTTTTGAGCATGGCTTGCAATCTAGACCAAACCACATACATGCATAAGAAATGGAGGAAAGAAAAAAATAAGTCTTTCCTTACAAGGTTTCAATAAACATATGAGTTTCTCCTCTTCTGAAAGATTGTTTAAACACATTTTAATTCCTGTAGAGTATTAATTTTTGAAAATTGTCTACAAAAATAAATGTTTTTACTCTGTAATTGTTTCACTTTCATGTGAACTTGCTCTTGCATCCTGTGTAGAAAAAACAGTATCTCAGCCACCTCGAATAACATATTGCAGGAGATGGTCATCAGGAAGAATGTATAATCAAAATTATCCTTAGATCAAAAACAGTTTACAGTGAACACATAAAATAAATTGGTTTGTAAAATGCAAATGGTAGAGTCGAAGAGAACTCTTTAAGTAAAACCTGGTGTTGACTTAATTATTTTATTCATTTGTGCTAGGTGCCCTCTCCTGGTCGTAGCGAGTAACGTTTAGTAGCTTACTCTTTCTAGATTGTGCTTTGCCAAGAAATGTATGTCAGCTGTATGTATACTCCATGCTAGGCTTTATACGGGAGAGAGAAAAATCTGAAGACCAGTGGCTTTTAACTTTACCAGAGTAGGCTCTTACTTTCCTCCTACGCATAGATGCTTTCAGTCATCAAGCAATGTTTGATTAGCCTGGTGTGGTGGAGGTAATACTTTAACTGATGTACTCCTCTTTTTCTTTATGACTTCACTATCAATCCAAAAAAGTCCTGCAAATGGCCTGTATGTACATGACAGAAATAACATGTGAAACAAGAATGCAGCCTAGAACCTGAGCAGCAGAGAGTGAACATCTTCCTTTTCTCCCCATCCTCACTCCCACCATAGCAGCATTAGTTTATGTAAGTCCCAGGAGCATCAAACACCAGAGAAGGAGTTGCCCCAATATCATTGAGAGTTGAAACTCAAATAGATGTGAAATCACTGAATTTTACTCATTTTATCTTAAGTATTTAGCATAAAGTAGAATGGGGGTCCTAGAAGAAGAAATTTATTACTGAAAAATTGTATCTTGGTATATCTGTTTAAAAACTGTGACTGAGGCCAGGCACGGTGGCTCACACCTGTAATCCCAGCACTTTCAGAGGATGAGGCAGGAGGACTGGTTGAGGCTAGGAGTACAAGGCTGCAGTGAGCTATGATCATGCCACTGTATTTCAGCCTGGGCTACAAAGCAAAACCCTGTATCCAAAAAAAAAAAGCAACAACTATTACTGAATTATTTAGGGACTCATGTCTAACGGGCAAGAGAAAAACACAATTGCAGAACACAGTTTACTGTTTAGCATGTCAGAGTTGGGGGTGACTATAGATGTCCTCTAGCTCAGTTCCTTGTCTGGGATAATCTGTTCTGATAGATGAGATAAACATATTCCCCCAGAATGAAAAAAAAATGAGCTCGCTTATTGTTAGCTATAAAAGCAGTAGATTCCCCAAGTTCAGTGTTCCTTAGCTGCGATGCAAACCCACTGTGTGTCTCAAACATCTAAACACATTGAGTCATGCTGGTAGGACTTGAGCAGGAAGGACCTCATGCTGCTAGCTGTGTTGTGCTTAAGAAACTCCTGTGTTTCTGATCCAAGAGTCTACATTTTCATGTGAAATCATAACTGGCTGGCTCATTAGTTTGTAAGTAAAGTAAAATTCCAGACCTGACGATAGCCTCTCACAAGGTTGTAAGTATTTTTTTTTACTGTACCATTCTATAATTAGGATTTTTACCTTCTTTACATGTTAGATACTAGGCCAATTCCAAAAGATAATTAATCTTATTGATCTATCCTACTTTGATGAGGGGCTATTCATAGGAATCAATACATTTAAAAATACTCAGAATATAAAAACATGTTATTTCTAAAAACAGCAAATTCCTTACCACAAAGCAAAGTTCAGCAATATTTTCATAAGGGATGCTGTATGCTTTGAGCTGCTAAACAAGAAAATAAATAAAATCCAGCACAGATTTGATAATCGTCTGTTGGAGGGGAATGAAAATAATATACATTTTCACTCAGTGCAGATAACCCTCCCACACTGTCTCTGGTACATAGGAGGTGCTCAATATTTGTTAAATGAATTAACACACAGAAATTCTCTAAACTTTATTAACTCTGTGATGATAAACCCAAAGTAATTTCTCCAATTCCCATAAACAAGATGATCATGATTAAAAGACAAATACTTGAATGGCTATGAAAAAGGACTCATTATTTTCAGATTTATTTTAATTGGATACATACGATCTTAATGACCTTTTATTTTACATTTTAAAATATGAATTAGACACACAAGTATAATTATGGCTAAAGTAAAAAAATAGAAAATGGAGAGAAAAAAACTTTATACTGTGGCAAATTTCAAACATACATGAAAATAGAATAATGTAATGAATCCCCGTTTACCCACCACCAGGTTTGATAATTATCAAACACAGCCAATCTCACTTTATCCATACTTCTAACTCCTCCACCCATCCACTGAATTCTTTTGAAAAAAATTCATGATAACATATTAGTTAATCTATAAATACTTGAGTAATAAACATATTTTTAATAAAAATAAAATTTCACACTAAGGATGGATGATTGTTATAAACTTAACATTTCTCATCAAATAGAAACATGACCAGAAATGTCATTCACACTAAAAAGTACTTTTATGTCTTTGGTATGGTGAGCTTTAACCTGAGCCCGAAGCAGAGAGATATTTTAAAGTGTAAAACTTCCTCCTTTTTCCAGCTTGCTTTACTTCAAATTTTTGTCACTGAATTTAGAAAGTGTTAATGACTTAATGAGATCCAGGCTATTAATGGAAACAGCACCACTTCAACTTTAAAGTTTTCCATAAGAAGTGAGAATATTTTCTGATTACCACCACTTTTATGGTAAAATTATTAATATTTGACTCCTAGTGATGGAAATTCTAAGAATAATTAGTATTATGTACTAAATTAGTCATACTGATTTTTTTACAATTCATTATGATTTGTCAGTGGAAATCATTTCTGGGAGTTATGTTAGTGTGCACATGCATTTGTGTACACACACACACACACACACATTAAAATGCCTTAGAATTATAAGAAAATTCTAGTTTGTTGTCACACACAGATATAGTTGTACTTGCTAAAATATTAAGATACATGAGGACAAATAGTTGCTGTTCTAAGCCTTTGACTGTGTTTCTGCTACCCAGGCCACCTAGACCTCTCCATGATCAGGCAACTAAAAGGTTGAAATTTAGCACAGTAGAGATGGATGGCTCACTTCCGGCATTAGGTAGCCACCAATCTGATTGAAAGGTGCATGTATTAGTCAAGGTCTCCAGAGAAACAGAACCAATAGGAGGATGTGTGTGTGTGTGTGTGTGTGTGTGTGTGTGTGTGTGTTGAGGAGAGAGAGAGAGATTGAGATTTATCATAAGGAATTAGCTCATGCAATTGTGGAGGCTGAGAAGTCCTGAAATCTTTCCTCTCCACGCTGGAGGCCCAGAAGAGCAGGGGGATGTAGCTTCAGTCCAAGTCTGAAGGCCTAAAAAATAGGAGAAACAATCATGCAAGTTCCAGTCTGAGTGTGGGAGAAGATTGATGTCCCAGCTTGAAAACAGGTTGAGCTAGCAAACTCTTCCTTACTGGAGACCTTTTTCTCTATTCAAGCCCCCAACAGATTAGATGAGGCCAACTCACCATGGGATGGGAAATCTGCCTTACTTAGTGTGATCCAAATGGTAATCTTTTCTGGAAACTCAGAAGTAATAATAACTCAGACAAACACACTCAGAAATAATGTTTAACAAAAAAATATCTGGGCGTGTCATGGCCCAGTCAAGTTGACACATAAAATTAACCATCACATTGTCCCTGCTTTATTGATTGGTAAACATTTTGAAAATCTGCTTATTTAAAACATATATAGAGCTAATCTTGTGAGTTGTTAAAAGGTGGGCAAAATGGTGGCAGGGAAATAAGGAATAGGTGCAGAAAAGCAGAATAGAACTAACTAAAAACTAGGCTAAGAGCTCTCTGTGTGCATTAAAAAAACAGGACTACTCTATCTCTCAAAGCTAGAGGACCAGGTGGGAAATAAATAGACAACAAGTTGAATATCTCTTATTTAAAATGCTTAGGAGCAGAAGCGTTTCAGATTTCAGATTTGTTCAGATTTTGGAATATTTGCATATATATAAAATAAGATATCTTGAGGATGAGACCCTTCTTAACATGAAATTCATTTGTTATTTAAGTTATTCATTTATGAAATTCATTTCATATTCATTATGAAATTCATATACCCTTTATTATATACATGGCCTTATCTATTGTGGTTTTATACAATATTTAAGTAATATTGTGAATGAAACAAAGTTTGTATTAAATACTTAAGTGTAAAATTTTCCACTTGAGAAATCATGTCAGGGATCAAAAAGTTTTGGATTTTGGATTTTCAGGTAAGGGATGCTCACCCTGTATTAAGACAAAAGTAACAAATCATATATAAAGAGTGCCTTACTGAGCACTGCAAAGCAGGTACATGAAAACTGAATGACTTTGTTAATAAAGGATTATTCTGGTGAACTTTGTAAAAAATTGCTGTATAATGCAATGTGAATTTGCTGGGAATGGTTTTGTAATAAACTCCATTACCTTATGATCAACTCATCAACTTTCTGTACTAACCAATATTTTCCATTCCAGCACACTGGTGCCCATGGCTTGCTGAATGTTCACTGTTGGCAGATTTTCTCCAGTCTGGCAAGTACCTACCAATTCAGATATATGTTGACCAGTACCATAGTCAGCTGTGTTTGTTTCCATATCAATTTATGCTGGTTGTACCTATAACTTGAAATATGTAAACTAAAGATATGTTATATAAATCAATAAACAGTGAATTTAAAAATTTTTAAAGTTGCTTCTATGAAAATTAAGTGGAAAACTTATTCAAAATTAGATAGAGATGAGTAACTAAAAATTACCACTGAATTACCGTGGATAGCTAGTGTAAAAAATAGAGTGGAGAATCATCTTACTCTAGAATGACTTTACACCCAAATTGTTTCACAAGTACCTTCAAGAGCTCAATCCACCTTAAATAAGTGGATTAAATAAAAATTATGAATTATAAATAATACACAATGAAGTAGTTCATTAAGAATAACGGCATGTGTTAAATCATTTGACCTAATGGCTTTAAATCAAAAGGTTGGTAAACAAATGTTCATTCATTTGTATAATATGTATAATGATGAATAAATGCATATTTTAGTTAAAATTAAAAAGGGAGAGGTATGTAAAATTTTTAAAAGTAAGTGTCTTAACCGATTTTTTAAATTAATGACCAACTATAATTCCTGATTGTGTCAAGATTTCTACTTTATGTAATTTTAGAATCAATTAGAAGTTAAAGTTAAGTATTACTTCTGTTATTTTTATATGTTCTTTATAGAACTATATATAAGACTAACAGAATAGAATAAGAGACTTGTATAAACTTGCTTCGTGTCTCCTTTTCATGTACACTATCCATGTTTGAAGAGAAGTCAAAACAAGGGTCTAATTCTCTTGTCCTCCCCTCTATGAAAGTAAGGGTGAGATGACCTGAACCAACAAAGCATCATTATCTGTGTTTATTCCAGGAGATTCATATTCTACCCAAGGCAACAGCATCATTTTCCAAGAGAGAGGAGTAGCCTTGGTGCTCTAGGCTGGGACTCAGGGAGATCAGAGGCATTCGCATGAGGCTGAGGGACCAGGTTGTCCCTGGAGAATTCTGTCTGGGATGACTGCTGACACATAGGAATATGTGTTGCAGTGGTTGCTGGGGGTTTCGGTGAGGTGAGCTGGTAAAAAGTGTACAGCACAATTCAAATCTGCAAAAAAAAATAGTTTCTTTGTATCTGGAAACTGATCTCATCTTATCTTGGAAACCCCTTTCCTGCTGATGATAGCAGAAAAAAAATAATTGCACTTGCCAATTAAAGGTAAATTATTCTCTTAGCTTTAATTTCTTAAGAGGATTAATTTTCACTTTCAAAATTTCTACTCCCTTTCTTTCTGTCCAAGCTGGCTTCTGGATATAAGTAGAAGCAAACACATTTTTATAGTATTTGGGGGGGCCAATCTCTTCCTGATGCCATCCTGTGGTCTTCAGCATTTGCTGAGATGCACTATCTTTCGTCCTTACTGGGTGAGATATGCAGATGTCTGCTGAGTTGTGGCTGGTCTTGTCTGGACTAGTGCTGTGCAATTGTGCTGAAATTCACAGATCACTAACCATGGACTTCATCATTGCCTTTTTGTGCATTAACTCCGGTTTCTTTGAGGGGGCTGGTCCAGTACCTCACGGCCCCACAGGGAAGCCCAGAACATTTGCCTGCTTCCTCCACACTTTGCTGCAGTGTGCAGGATTCTGTGAGATAGCTTAAGGCCTCTATGTCAGTTGATTGCTATTCTCTTCAGACACCAAGACCAAACAGAACATAGAGCTTTGCTAACGAGTGTAGTCTCACGGACTGGTTCTGTGGACACAGTCCATTAGCTCCAATGTCATTGAATTGTTCCTGTTTTGTATCTTCCTATTCATCATCACAGAGAATTTGGCACTAAGAGAGGAGCTAGAACACTTGCATGTGATCTCTTACCAAACCTTTACCCTCTCTTGGCTCTGCTCCACATCCATTAGAAAAATCTTTTTGGCAGGGGGCAGTGGCTCACGCCTGTAATCCCAGTACTTTGGGAGGCCAAGGTGGGCGCATCATGAGGTCAGGAGTTTGAGACCAGCCTGACCAATATGGTAAAACCCCGTCTCTACTAAAAATACAAAAATTAGCTGGGCGTGGTGGCATAGGCCTGCAGTCCCAGCTATGAGGGAAGCTGAGGCAAGAGAATCGCTTGAACCTGGGAGGCGGAGGTTGTAGTGAGCAGAGATCATGCCTCTGCACTCCAGCCTGGTGACAGAGTGAGACTCAGTCAAAAAAAAAAAATCTTTTAAAATTTCTGTTAGATGAAGTCTTTGGTTACACCTTATCTTCATTTCTTTCTTTATTGTGGCTTATAATACTTATGTTCACACTCCCATGTTTTGTTCTTAATATAAAAAGAAAAGTTTGGAATATTTTTTTAAAAAGTTTTTATTTCAACAGGGTCTGAATTTTAAAACTGTTGCTTCACAAAAGATTTTAAAAATCTGATTTTAGACTCAAATCTGAAGAGTGGCATTTTTGATCCAGGGAATACCTATACACTATTTTCCTGAAATAATAAAACTCTGAGTCTAGCCTTAATTGTTGAAAAGCAATAGGGGGAAGAGGAAAACTGGATTACTGTAAGGGAAAATATATCAAATATTAAAATTCCCATTAGATACATTCTTCCCTGGTGAGATGCAACCCACTGCCTTTTTCAAACCCTGTTGTTTCTGTTTGGCTACACACTTGCCCAAAGATCTGCCTTGTTCTAATCCAAGGTATAGCAATAAAAAATCCTTGGGAAACTGGGTTCCTAAATGAACTAGAAGGAAACTGAAAAAGTGAGTAATAAAAACACCAGAAGGTAGAGTGTATCCAATATGGGATACGACTGATGAATTCTGAAAGCATTACGTCTTGCACAAACGCTCTCATTCTAGGACTGGGAAAACAGGGCAGCGTGGCCCTTTATGCTCAATCCATCCCCTTCCTGATCCTGCACATCTCTCTTAAGTGTCACACATAAAGTAGCTTTAAGAACCTCTTTTTTGCTCATTATATCGCAGACCTAAAGAAAACAGTACCACAGAGGGGTCTTTTCTCATATAATATGTTAGTCATTTCACTGGGTCTTTTTCAAAGACAAATTGACAGACGCACTGGTGATCCAGCATTCCCTCAAGTACAAACACCGTGAAGCCAACAAGATGATGAAGAGTTTCTGCTTAGACATTGATTGCCTTATGGTTTTGAATCCTACCAGGACCCTATGGTCAGTGACACTGTGTCTATTACTGGTTAAAAAACACAGTTAGTCAAGAATATCATTCTGTAAATTGGCATTTGCAATATATAAGCTGAATATAAAAAACTGCAAAACTTCATTACGTATCTAGTAGAATAACTAGAATTACATGTATAATCACATCAATGTTGGCAAGGAAGTAGAGGAAATTTAGTTCTCATATACTGCTGTTGGCAATATAAAATGGAAACCACTTTGGAAAGCAATTTGGCAGTTTCTTAAAAAGATTAACATACACCTACTATATGATTCTGCCTTTCCACTCCTAGGTATTTACCCAAGAGAAATAAAAGCATATGCCCAAACACAGACTTATATACAAATATTAGCAGCTTTATTGGTAATAGCCAATAACTGGAAGCAACCCCAAAATCTATCTACAAGTGAATGGATTAACCAATTTTGGTATAGCCATACAATGGCATGCTATTCAGTAATAAAAAGTACTAAAAAGTACTGAGCATAACATGGATAAACCTTAAAATCACTACGCTGATTGAAAGAGGCCAAACAAAACAGAGGGTTACATAATATATTATT